TACTCCTCTTTATATATACCTTTATGAATGCCTTGTGGCTTCGCTTGTAGAGGCCGGACTAGTCTTGCCGCCCATGTTTGCTCCTTTCATGTTTGTACTCTTGCTGACTGGTCTTTGGACCCCTGCCTCAGAGGTTGGACTAGTAGTGCCGCCCTGAGCTGCCTGTTTCTTGCTAAGCACTGCCCCTTATCTTACCTAAAAGGTGTGTCAAATTATACATACATTTGTATGTAAAAGTTATGGGCTAGAAATGTTTTTGTCATTTAGAGGGTACAACTCCAACCCTATATCTCCGTTTTTCTCACTTGTTTCTACTCATTCTGCTATTCTAACAGAAGGAGGAATCGAATTGTGGGAGGAAGGGGAATCGAACATGTAGGGGAAAGGGGGATTCGAAATTGTCAGTGGAAGGGGGAATCGAAATTGTGGATGAAGGGGGAATCAAAATTGTTGGGGAAGGGGGGGAACTGAAACCGTTGGGCCAGGGGGTTACGATATTGTGGGGGAGACGGAAAAATGAATTTTTCTTGCCTCGTTAGCAGCTGCTCCGCACCCTTTTATAGGGCCTGGAACACTCAAATTTATTTTGCATTTTACATAACACATGGGCGTCATATTTTTCCGGGCCCCAGTTAACACCCACTCATTTTTTTAGTGAATGTTTATATCCACCATAGGGTGTTATACAGGGGATTACGGTAGTTTTTAGGGCAGTCTGAAAATCAGATGGGGTCTTAGAGCTTCGTCTGACCGTCAGACAGATTTTCTTGGGTTGTCTTACGATTCAGACGAAATGCAAGCACGTGTCTGAGAATTCAGACAAATGGTTTTATTAGCGTTCACCAATACCGTAATTTCCTGGATATAGGTGCATTCCTTTATTTGGCCCACTGGGCTTATGGAGTGCAAGTGCACCTATATCCGTTATTTGATTATAAGCGCACCCATATTTTTGAAATGTATTTCGTATAGGCGCATCTTATTTTTGTAAAACAATCGATGAAATGCGGATTTTTCATATCGAAGTCTAAGCCGTAACCCCCCTAGCACCTCCCGAACAAGAAGCGCAATGTTCGCCCTCTGCCTTGGCTCTGATTGGCTGGAAAATTCATCCATCGCGGGGTGGATTTTCTGGCAGAAACGTGTCAGCCATTTCCTCACATTTTTTCAACATGCCACCCAACAGAAAGAAACGTGCTAGAACACAAATAATAAGAGCTACATTTTTATGTGCTCAAATTCGTTTTCCATAAATTCCCTGTTCAAAGAAGCTAGAGGGATACAAGAATGGGGGTTGTACCCTCTACGATAGGATCCAGTAACACCAACCAAGCCTACCATTATATATATCAAATACATAATTTAACACATCCCCTAGGCTTGGTAGCCGAAAGCACACCACAAACACAGCACACTAAGCCACACATCCCCTAAGCCTTGCACCCCCATACTCAGCAGCAGCGACGGCTACCCCAGCATGGTCAACCCCTCCGCGCGTGAGGCAGCGACGTCGACAGCGAGGGCAGCGGCTGCAACGGCGGCGACGGCGGCAGCGTCGAAAGTGGCGGCAACGGCGGCGTAGCCATCGGCACCAGCTGCGGTGGCGGCGGCTTCGACGACAGCTGCGGCGGCGGCAGAGCTCGCAACACTCGGCGGCGTTGCCGGGCTCCGCGACGGTGGGACGGCTGGCGCAAGTCAGCCGTCGGCTGCGGCGAGGAAGAGGGGACGCATGGGAAGGGGGCGGGGCATCAGCAGTGGAGCCTGGGAGCGTGCCGCTCCGTGTGGCGCACTGGCTGCATGCGAGTGTGTTGGCCAGCGCTAAGACCGGGCGCTGGCCGCTGCCGTCCATGCCGTCCGCGCACTGGCGCGTAGACGCCGCTATGACGGCACGACGGCACGATCACGGCAGCACGACATGGCCGTGGCGGCGGCGCGGAAAGGATAGGAGCGAGGAGCAGAATGTGCGGAAGCGTGATGAGCAGGCCCGAGCAGGGACGGACGTGCTCTGATACGATGTTAAAAGAAGCTAGGTAGCTAGGGAAGCCATGGAAATGGCGAGAGGTTTTAGGTGGGAGAGAATTGACGAGAGAGAAATTTTGGAATAGAAGAGAGAGGGATACCCTCTACAGTAGGATCCAGTAACACCTACCAAGCGTACCATTGTATATATTAAATATATAATTTAACAATCCCCTAGTTAAGCCCTGGGCTTATAAAATTTATTCGATTACAAGCGCATGCCACCTTTGCCAGGTATTCCCTATAAGCCCCTATGTGCCTATATCCGGGGGATTACGGCTTTACCAACATAGACCATTATGTCAAAAGTCAGACTATTGCAACTACTACCATACAAGGAGTAATCATCAGCTTCTACCATATCAGGAATAATCAACAGGGTATTGCAGAGGTGAGTTCAACTAAGCTCACAAACTACTCCTAACAACACTGCTGTTGCTGCTACTCCTGCTGATATCCCTACTGACACTTCTGTTGCTGCTGCTACTACTGTTGCAGCTTCTACTGCTGTTGCTGCGGCTATTGCTGTTGCTGCTGCTACTGCCGTTGCTGCTACTACTGCTGTTGTTGCTGCTACTGCTGTTGCTGCTATTACTGCTGTTGTTGCTGCTGCTATTACTGCTGCCTGCTACTGCTGCTGAGGCTGCCTGCTTCTCATGGTGATGCCTTCAGTAAGAGTCGATGTCGCTTTCCACAGGGGCCTCCTCCTCTTCCTCAGAGTCAAATTCAATGGCAATCATCTTCCCCTTGCCCTTCCTCCTCCACACAGGGCCTACTGTGGCATCCTCCTCAAACACACGTGCTGCTTCCGCTGCAGCCAATGCCTCTGCCTCTCGAGCTGCTGCTGCTGCTGCCTTTGCTGCTTTTACTGCATCGGACCTCTTCGGCTTATTCGTCGGCCCTGAGCCCAATGCCATTACAACTTCTTTGGCAGGGCGCCGCTTCTTGACTTCCCCGCGCCACATGGTCACTAGTTCGTCCCCTCCATCTCGTACTCCAGCAGCAAGATGGTTATCAGGTCGCTCAGGCGCGCATCATGGAGGTTCTGCAATGCCAGCTCTTAATCACATTCTGCAGGCTGAAGCCGTGCTCGCACTCCACCGTGCTCAGAGGCAGCACGACGATAGCAATCCACACAAGGACAATGTTGGGGTAGGCTGTCTTCCAGTCGTCGCTTGAGAGCATGTGCTTCATGGCAGCATGGAAGTCGAGGTCGTCATGGTGCGTTGACATGATTGTGGTGAAGCTGGTGAGTTCCTTTTTGGCCTTGCCCCAATGGACACCTGAGGGTGGGGGAGGGGTCGGCGGAAGGGTGGGTAAACATAAGTCAGGAATGGGCAACAATTGAAAGCAGGGTTATACACGCGAGAGAGCAGCCACTTATAGATGCGACGACGAGGGAGCGGCCTTACTGGGCAGGGTGTCAGGGGCTGTGGGGTCGCACTTCCATAGGTTGCGCGGAGACACCAGCCACTCCACAAACTTACGCTCGCGCCTTGACGCGTTTCGAGGATACAAACTCCACTTGTAGAGGCGAGTGCCGTTGAGGGAGGACAAGTCGTGGAGTCGGCCACGCAGATGGCCGATCATGCCCAGCACTATAGCAGTTGCCAGCTTCTGGAGTGAATCCATGTCCCCTCTGCTTTGCTGGCCTTCAATCGGTCGCTCATGAAGCTGGTACGTGTGGATGAGAGGAGTGTCGTTTGCATCTGTGCCCGAGATAGTAACGTCCTTGCCGCCAGCGTGTAGTTGCAGAAAATCGAATAAGTCTCCCGAGGTCGGGCCGAACTGCGAGCCGTAGGTGACGTACCGGATGCGCAAGCTGACAATGGTGTTGTCCACCATCCTAAGAACTTGAGTCACGTCGACTTGGGGGAGGGGTGCGAACAAAGAGAAAGAAAACATTAGAAAGTATTCAGGCTTGTAAACCGAAATCATGGCAAGAAGGACGCACCTGTCGACGCTGGAACTTCAGATTCAATGCATTGAGCTCCGTGAGGACGTCAGCCAGGAAGTACAGAAGGAAGTGGAACTTCAGACTAATGACAACAGCATACATCTGACTATCATACTCCCACAGCAAGAGGATAGCAGCTGGGAAGACCTCGACCACCCGCTGAATGGCCTCATCCCGAGAAAGCCAGCGGATCTGATGGATCTGCTGCATCTCGAGGTTGGTCTCGATCACCACCTCCTGCAACTGCTTGAAGCGGTTGTGGACGATGATCGAACGGCCGAGGATGTCTGCCAAGGAGCGGACCACCTTATCGACCACAGCGAGGTCGGGAAATTCCGCTGCCGCGTCCTTGGTGGCCAGGGTCTCCCATGCATGCATGGCCATGGAGGGATGGTTAGCAAAGCGCGGAGAAACAACATGATAAAAGACGGGTGGAGTGCGAATGATGTTGTGTGATGTCATCATATGCTATCACATTCTGTCTGCCTCCCATCCCATATTTTTCAACTTGCATGTGTGGTTTGAACGTGTGCAAGAATTTGTGTGTGATGTGTTCTGGAGTTTGGGAATGTGTTTTGTGTTATTTTGTTTGAGCAGGTTTTTTGTGATGATAGATCTTGAGAAGATCTTTCCGACGCAACGAGAATCCCTTCAATCGGAGCAAGAACGCGAAAGCTATGAAGATTCAAAGTTCATGAGCTTGCGTTACAATTGCGGCGGTTACAAAGTGAAGTTGTGGGGTGACTTTATATGGAGTTGGGACCTTTGGGGTTGGGTAAACTTGTCACTCTACTGTAACAGCTGCAAATAGGTTGGGAACAACCAAGCTAGGTTGGCAAGGGTGGCCAACTTGGATGGATTGGTTGGGAAGGGACAAAGGTCAAAGTTGAGGTTCCTATAGGGAGGGAATCTTTGTGCTTATGGGGTTTCCTTGGTTGGGGACTCTCTTGGGACCTTCCCTCTCATCCCTCTCTTCTATCCCAACCTTTCTCTTGCTCCTCTAATTCCTTGTGAGATTCTTGAACTTTGATTGAACTTTTGAGATTGAGTTAAGTTCTCCTCCTACAGCTTACCCCCTAATGCGTCGAAAGCCATAGCGTCGCGAATACTTCATCAATCAACATGATTCAAATTGGGAACGGTAGCTGAGATTAAGAGCTACAACATATCCAAGTTTCGCGACATTCCAACGGCTAGTTTTCTGTCGACGTCGTTTCTTGTGAAGACGACTTTTCTGTCCAGAATTTCGGATTTATATTTTTTGAGTAATTCTAGCTCCTAAGTTCACCTAGACTCCGTCCTTAATCCTAACAAGTGGTATCAGAGCCATATTAAGGACATTGAGAGGAGTCTACAGAAGTTTGAAGACCCTTCTAGACCCACCATGGCCTGTGGGTGTGCCTAAGTGGTGTTCTAAAGGTTGGATGTGTCTTCCGCTAAGGGGAAACTCTGCCGAAATTTCGTGGACGCCGACACTTGTGAAAATATCGAGGGAGCTGAGTGTGGACAGCAAAGGGGAGCTGAAATTCGTCATTTCTCAAGGAGAAGATGAATGAGAGAGGAGGAGATGCTAATGGAAGAGGAGCTGTAGCTGAGAAGGCAAGTGAGCCGCCGCCATCAAAAGTTGAAGCTTTGGATGGCTCCAACTATGAGGAATGGAGCGGGCGGATGAGGAGTGCCTTCAAACGCTACAAGCTACTGAAGATTGCTGTTGGGGAAGAGAAGATGCCGGAAGAAGGCGAAGCACGCGAACGGTGGATTGAGAAAAGCGCGGTGCTTTTCGACCTCATCCTTCAATCGGTCAACAAGGAGATGTTCGAGCACATCAAGGATCTTGTGGAAGCGGATGATTCGGGTCCAAGGGCGTGGAAACTACTACGTGATGTGATTCAGCCCAACACTCTCCCAATGGTGATCGTGCTCGAGAAGGAACTTGCTGCCATCTCCATGCGACCAGGGGATGATGTGAAGCCGGTCCTTGACAAGATCAAGGACACTTATGCATGGATGGCAGCAGCGGGCAGCAGTGTATCTCAGCTGCAGCAGTGCACCAAGATCATCTCGGTGTTGGACAACTCTTGGGACAACCTCATCCCCACCCTCAACTCTCAGCAAGATCAATGGACACCTGAGTGGCTAAGGCAGCAGATTCTGCAGGAGGACTTCCGTAGACGCCATGTGGGAGGCGGTGCTGCCACGAAGACTGCTGAGGGGTATGGAGCTGCAGGGCGCGGCAAAGGAAGAGGGGGTTGGAGAGGCCGAGGCCGTGGGAGGAGCTTTGGCAGAGGTAGAGGCCGAGGTGACTATAATGAGGGGCATGGGAGCTCCAGTGGCAGGGGGAGTACCAGAATGGAGGGCACCTGCTGGTACTGCAAGAAGGTCGGGCATCCTTGGTTCAAGTGCTTCAGCAGGCCGGAGGGATGGGCACCTCCAGGCATGAAGCCGCCCAGTGGTGAACGCGCACAAGGTGGCGCTGTGCAAGGCTCAGGTGCACAAGGTGAAGGTGCACAAGGTAATGCCAATCCTGGTTTGCTTCTTATGGTTGAGGATGTGCATGGGCATGAGGGTGATGTGGGATCTGTGGGAAAGGTTGTGATGCACCCTCTCACGCACTGGGTGATTGATTCGGGTTGCACCAGTCACATGACCCCACGGGCAGATTTGCTTGATGAGGTAAAACCCCCTGGGAAGATCAAGTATGTGGCAGCAGTGTCAGGTGCTTTGCTCCCTGTCATTGGTGTTGGAAATGCCAAGGTTAAGGGAGCTAATGGGGAGCTTGTGGGGCTTGGGAATGTTCTGCTGGTTGAAGGCTTGTCTGCTAACCTTCTCTCTGTGCGACGACTGCAGAAGAGCAAGGCCGAAGTGACCTTTGGACCAACCAGCTGCCATGCTAAGCTTGGGAAGAAGGTGCTGTGGAGTCTGGAAGAGGAGACCAGCTGCATCAAGGACCTGTGGCAGCTGCCCATCATCCCATGGAATGGGAAGACTCCAACAGCAGCAACGGCAGCAGCGGCAAAGGCAACTGCAGGAGGAGATGCAACTGCACCAACTGATGGGGTCTTGGAAGCAGTCAAGAAAGTGCAACAGCAGCAGACACATGGTGAGGTGCTTGCTGGTGTGGATGCGAGTGCGGCATGGGCTAAGGCTTCATCAAAGAGTGGAGAGGCTGATTGGGAGACATGGCATGAGAGGCTGTGTCATGTGAACTTCCCTATGCTGCAGAAGTTGGTGAAGGATGGGAGCCTGAAGGGCTTGGAGGTGAAAGGGGGAGTGAAGGAGATTGGGAGCTGCCCTACATGCTTGGAGACCAAGTTCTCCAAGTTCCCCTTCAACAGCACTACAGGACCAGCCAAGACCCCACTTGCACTTGTGCACATGGATGTGGTGGGGCCCACAAGAGCCCCTTCCCTCTCAGGCAGCCGCTATTTCTTGACAATTGTGGATGACCACACTCGGGCAGTGTGGGTTTACCCTTTGAAGAGCAAGGGGGAGGTGGTAGCGGCTGTCCTTAAGGAGTGGATGCCTAGAGCTCAGAGGGAATGCGGACACAAGGTGAAGGTGATCCGCAGTGACAATGGTGGGGAGTTCATTGGAGCTGATTTTGAGGGGGAGTTGAAGAGGAAGGGGATCCAGCATCAACTGACAGTGCCCTACAACCCACAGCAGAATGGCGTGGCTGAGAGGTTCAACAGGACCCTGCAGGAGGGGGCACGCACTCTCCTTGGGCGTGCAGGGCTGCCTGGTCCATTTTGGGTGTCTGCACTGAGGCAGGTCGCCCTTGTGAAGAATAGGGTGCTGGCTACAGTTGGGGATAAGGAGTGGATCCCATATGTTAAGTGGTATGGGAGTGCTCCAGCTGTGAACATGCTGAGGGAATTTGGGTGCATGGTGGTGTTTCATGTGCCTAAGGAGAAAAGGGGGAAGTTGGAGGCTTCTGGAAGATGGGGTGTGCACTTGGGGATTGCAAAGGATCACAAGGGTTGGCTGCTATGGGACTTGACCACCCAGAAGCTGACAGTGTCAAGGGATGTGAAGTTTCTGGAGTCCCTGTACTACAAGGAATGGAAGCAGCAGCAACAGAAGCTTCCATCTACACCGCTCATTGTGGAGGCAGATGAGGTGCAGCGGCCTTCAAGACAGGTGGAGGTTGCAGTGTCTGAGGAGGAGATGTCTGGGGTGACTGAGGAAGGGGGAGCAGCTGAGGTGGAGCAGCAGCAGCAACAGCATGAGTCTCCACCTCCAGTTCCACACCCGCCTGAGCGACCTAGGAGGGATGTGCGCCCTCCGGTGAGGCTGACCTATGGGGGAAGAGGCAAGCCGAATGTGGTGCAGGCTGGGAGTGTGGTTGAGCAGATTGAGGAAGATGAGATCGCTCACTGCTACTGGGCACCAATCCCTGAGCCCAAGACTCGAGAGGAGGCTTTGAATGGACCAAATGGGGAGAAGTGGAAGGCGAGTGAGGATGAGGAGTTCGGGTCCCTGATTGAGAACGAGACATGGGACCTGTGTGACTTGCCTCCTGGGAAGAAGGCAATCACTTCCAAGATGATCTACAGGCACAAGTATGGACCTGAAGGGGAGCTGACCCGCTACAAGTCTAGGCTTGTGGCACGGGGGTTTCAGCAGACAAAGGGGAAGGACTATGATGAGGTGTTTGCTCCTGTGGGGAAAGGAACAACACTGAGGGTGCTGTTGGCGATAGCTGCACTCCTGGGATGGAAGATTCGGCAGATGGATATTGTGACAGCCTTTCTGAATGGGATCATTATGGAGGAGGTGTACATGAAGCAGCCAGAGGTGCTGGATGACGGGAGCGGCAGGGTCTGCAGGCTGAAGAAGGCCATCTATGGCCTTAAGCAGGCGCCTCGTGCATGGTATCACAAGTTGGAGGAGGCGCTGTTGGCTGGGGGTTTCAAGAAGAGTGAGTGTGACCCCAGCCTGTTCCTGCTGCAGGAGAAGGATGAAATCCTCATGCTCTTGGTGTATGTGGATGATATCCTTCTCTTTTCTGCATCCACTGCTTTGCTGGACAGCGCAGAGCAGATGCTGGAGATGCAGTTCAAGTGCTCCAAGATGGGTGAGGTGAAGTACTACTTGGGGATGCACGTGGAGAGAGATGTGGAAAAGGGTGTGCTGAGGTTGCACCAGAGGAAGTACTGTGAGGGGCTGGCTGAGAAGTATGGGCTGCAAGATGGGGGAAAGCCAGCAACACCACTACCTTCAGGGTTTACTGTGGAGCCATGTGCTGATGAGGAGGTAGTGGGTGAGAGTGACAGGAAGCTGTTTCATTCGATGGTTGGGTCGCTGAATTATGCTGCAAATCATACACGGCCTGACATTGCATTTTCTGCATCACGGTTGGCTAGTGTGGTCTCACGCCCTAGTCATGAGCAGCTGGAAGCGGCCAAGAGGTTGGTCCGCTATGTGAGTGCTACGGCATCAGTGGGATTGGAGTACAGTGGAGTGAGGCAGCGGTTGCAGAGAGGTGCTGCAGATGTGAAGAGTGGAGAGATGCTCTTGAGTTGCTATACTGACGCTAGCTTCAACTCAGTGAAAGCGGATGGCACCAGCATTGGGGGTTATGTGTGCTTGCTAGGAGGTGGTGCTGTGAGCTGGCGCAGCAAGAAGCAGAATGAGGTGGGATTGTCCTCATGTGAGACTGAGTACATGGCCTTACACCATGGGGCCAAGGAAGTAGTGTGGCTAAGGCGTTTGTTGGAGGAGTTGGGAGTTGGTCAGGAGAAGCCGACAGTTGTGTTTTGTGACAATGAGTCCGCTGTGAAGCTCGCCAAGAATGCTTGTCTGCATGGGCTGACAAAACACATAAGGCCTAAGTGGCATTGGGTGAGGAGAATCCTTGATAAGGAGGTGCGGCTGGAGATAGTGAAGACCCATCAGCAGGCAGCAGATATTTTCACTAAGCGTCTGGCGGAGGCGGATCATTGGAAGGGCATGAAGCTTGCTGGGATGAGTGTGCATTGAGTATGCATGCTTGAGATGTTGGTATGGTGGATGATGGTTGGCAGCCAGAGGGGGAGATTGTTGTGTGATGTCATCATATGCTATCACATTCTGTCTGCCTCCCATCCCATATTTTTCAACTTGCATGTGTGGTTTGAACGTGTGCAAGAATTTGTGTGTGATGTGTTCTGGAGTTTGGGAATGTGTTTTGTGTTATTTTGTTTGAGCAGGTATTTGTGATGATAGATCTTGAGAAGATCTTTCCGACGCAACGAGAATCCCTTCAATCGGAGCAAGAACGCGAAAGCTATGAAGATTCAAAGTTCATGAGCTTGCGTTACAATTGCGGCGGTTACAAAGTGAAGTTGTGGGGTGACTTTATATGGAGTTGGGACCTTTGGGGTTGGGTAAACTTGTCACTCTACTGTAACAGCTGCAAATAGGTTGGGAACAACCAAGCTAGGTTGGCAAGGGTGGCCAACTTGGATGGATTGGTTGGGAAGGGACAAAGGTCAAAGTTGAGGTTCCTATAGGGAGGGAATCTTTGTGCTTATGGGGTTTCCTTGGTTGGGGACTCTCTTGGGACCTTTCCTCTCATCCCTCTCTTCTATCCCAACCTTTCTCTTGCTCCTCTAATTCCTTGTGAGATTCTTGAACTTTGATTGAACTTTTGAGATTGAGTTAAGTTCTCCTCCTACAGCTTACCCCCTAATGCGTCGAAAGCCATAGCGTCGCGAATACTTCATCAATCAACATGATTCAAATTGGGAACGGTAGCTGAGATTAAGAGCTACAACATATCCAAGTTTCGCGACATTCCAACGGCTAGTTTTCTGTCGACGTCGTTTCTTGTGAAGACGACTTTTCTGTCCAGAATTTCGGATTTATATTTTTTGAGTAATTCTAGCTCCTAAGTTCACCTAGACTCCGTCCTTAATCCTAACAAATGACTACCTATGAGCAATGCGTGGCACAATACTAGATGCGGAATCTGAGTGCGAAGATGGGCAACAAGGCCCAATTGCGCTCCTGTCATCACGCAGGTGCCGTCGGTGCTGATTTCGCAGATCTTGTTGAGGTCGACCCCGCATGAATCCAGGTGAGGCTGAAGCACGGCTTGGAAGGAGGCAGCGTTGCACTTCTTCACCGTGAGGTGCGCGAAGAACTCCGTGACGAACTCCGTACCACGCAGGAAGGTAAGGTAAACGATCACGTGCCTCCCTCAGTGTCGGTCCATACTTTCGTCGAGCTGGATCCCGAGAAAGGGGCTCGCCTTGATGTGGACCATCTGCTTCGCCCGCAGGTTCTCGACAAGCTGGATGAAGCCGCACTTGCCATTTGGGTAACACCGTAGGGGAGGAGTAGCGCAAACAGCGACGGTAAGTTCAAAGAAACATCATAACCGGCAAATGAGGAATTCGGATGAGGAGGGCTTCGCCTTAAAAAAGTGGGACACTTACTCGCTCTGGTTGGTTCCTCATTCCTTCAAGGGCAGATTAGGCGTCCCCTGTTCTGCCATGAACTAGACAAGGGAGATGAATAGAACAATAGGTGCATCTGAATTGCAAATAAAAAGCACGATGGCCATGAGGCGCTTGAGTCGTCGAGCCTCGTTGTCACCATTCTCAAAATCGACGATCGACTTCTGCTTCTTCATTTTCCTGTCGCGCTGCAGATTCTTTGCCACGGCAGCCTCATGCTTCAGGCTGTGATGATGCTTACACATTGTTTGCTTCTGAATGTCGATGCCGCCCTTACCGTTGCGGCCGTACTGATAGTCCGGGTCATTGCCAAACGCCATGCAGATGCTGCACTTCATGCAGGGGCGACCCTCCTTCGTCTCGGAAATCACCAATCATGGAAAGCGACGCAACCACTGCTCCCTCGCTTTGAGTTGGAGCTCTTCCACTGTCAGGAAGAATGGTCAGTCGTCGTCAGACGGCGGGGAGCTTGGACCAGGATCGCCGCTGCTGCTGCCGAGCTGGATAGGAGTAGCCACAGTGGAGGTGCAGGCATGTTGACCGAAGCTGAGTTTGCGCTGGATGTACTTCGCCTTGCCAGGCTTGCGGGCGGGCAAGATGGGCCCTCCAGAGATGCGTAGCGGAAGGACGGCAGAGACGGTTTGCCTTGGAGGTGACGACGGACGAGGATTTCTAGTAGCAGAGTCGAGCTCGGAGCCTTCAGCACCAAAGATGATCCATGGCTCCATCTCCAACGGAGGCAATGGGCTTAGAGGAGCCACTGTAGGGGGAGAACACGGGTGAGTGGACAACAGGAGATGGGCTACGCGATCGTGCATGCGCCGCAGGAGGCGGACTAGCGGCGGGAGAGCGAGCCGAGGGTGGAGAACTCGACGCCTGCTTGTTACTTGTGCGAGGACTAGCCTCTGGACGACTAGTCGTATGTCAAGTGGCGGAAGGAGGCGGTGGGGGTTCGACAGGCGGAGTAGGCTCAACGGGCATACGCCTCTGATGCGGTTCACTGCTAAGGGGAGGCGGCGCGGGTCGTTACCGAAGCATGTTGGCCATTAACTGGACAAAATCAGGGCCCACGAGAAAACGATCAGGTTTTATATTTCCTGGTTTCAAGGTTCTATTTGCCACTGTTATAGGCTTGTGTGGCAAATGACATCTTGTAAAAAAAACACACCAAAATAGAACATAGCACAATGATGATCACAAATGGTACACTCGGACAGAATGTTCCCGGGATGAGCGACATTTGAAATTATCGATATCGATACCGGGTCCATCTCCCCTTAGCCCTACTTCCTTCTCTGATCCTCCTAGGCACACTGTCTATCAGAGCCTTGCATATGCCAGCCCTAATGCTGTCCCATGCTTCGTGCACCTGCTCCCAAGTTTGCAGCATGCCTGTGGGGGGTTGCTCATGCTTGGCGAGCTACTTGATGGGATTGGGGTCGATGGAGGATTAGGTTCATTGTAGGACCGCGAAATCTTGCTCAGCTAGCCACTCCTAAACGTTCCTGCACTTGGGTTTGGGGTCATACAGTGTACTGGAACGTCATGCCAGAGACAGTCAAATCATAGAAATCAAGAGCTTGAGCCACCTCGTCCTGTAATATGCTGTGATAGAGTTGGCCATCTGTGCGGCCATCAATCTTGCACATGTAACCAGGCACATAAGACATTATACAGACTCAAACCATGACTGGCCCACCCCCATGCTTTACAGTCTACTTCACCTGATGCCCCTGGAGAGCAGCGCCTTCATGAATCCATGCGTGGGTGTGGCTATCCGAGCAACATCGAGTGATCTGAGTCTCGTTCGACCGGATCACCCGCTTCCAGTCGTCTAGAGTCCAGTCTAGGTGGGCTCTGGCAAAATTCCGTATAGTCGCACATGTTGCGCGCTAATAGTTGAGGCTTGCGCAATAGTTGTACAGCGACTAACCCAGTCACCTAGAGGGCATTTCGTACAGTGTGAGGGTGGACCTTAACAACGTGATTCGATTCCAGTGGTTATGCAGCCTCAATGCTCGTCAACGTGGCACCTAACATGATGGTGTACATGAAAGTGCACATGTATCACGCTGAGAGCAGTCGCGGTTGACCTGAAGAGTGGACATTTGGCCTAGCTGCTAGACAACCACTGCTGCGACTAGCCTTCAGAGTGTTTTTTTGGTCGATTCTCTACCCTATTCCTAGCGTTTGTGTGATCGGTCGAAAACTCAGACCCTGGCGACAGAGGCTCATGATCTGGTATCTCTGACGCGAAGCAAGGAGGCGCGTGGTTACTGGAGGATCATGGGGTAAGGGGCATGCGCTAGCGAAAGTCCGAGCGACTTTGCTAGCTCGTGCAAAGAATGCTCGACGGAAACAAATCTAGTCTCTACTCGGGTAGTAGTTGTCCACATCGACCGTCGAGCGTTAAAGCTTGTACTTGCTATTAGCAATTCGATATTGGCTAGAGTTTGTTATATCTGGAGGTGCATCAATTGTTTATGCATAATGTCCACAGGCTCCAGATTGTAAATAATTCATTTATACTTGGTAAAACATCATGAACTTGCTAAACATTGCCATTTTGTGGACAGATCGTTCCGTCACTGTAGGTGGGAGAGCCAGCCAAGAATGAAGCATTAGGACGAGGGGAGGACGAGGACACCACAGAGAGCACTCATGGCTGCGGGGAGTTTGTCTCTGAGATGTGGTGGTCTGAGGTTGGGGGCTTCTGTGGGCTGATTATACACCATGGCGGCTTGACGAAGAGCGGCTTGGGGTTGCATATTCAACAAGAAACCCTCGTCGTGATGGCACAACGAGCGTGGCTTGCGGTTTCATTGGGAAATGCGCTGACACATTGCTGCCCAGCGCTGCTTGCCTGGAACTGGCTGGCAGCGACGGTGCCCGTAACAAGACAGTGGTGGGGGAGCAGCTTGCATCAGCAACCTATAAAAATATGTGCGCTGGACTGTTTTGCTGCCGCGCTCCGTGTAGAATTGAATGCGCATGCTGCAGTGCACATGGGACTGGGTGGCACGCAGTGGCCGAGTGGGCATGTGGACTAGTGGCCCTGCTGCTAGAAGGACGGTTTGTCAGTTTTAGACGAAAAATAACGGACGGTCTGATAAATAAGATGAATGTGTACACCTAGTCTGATGTTTCGGACGAATCCTTATAACTTGTATGAACGATCAGACTAATATATTTGGCTTGTAAAAAAATCAGGTGAAATATCAAACCGATTTGTTCTGATAACGGGAGCCCTGGTGACATGCTGGGGTTGACCTAGAGATCCTTGGAAGGGCCACAGGCCTCTATGCCTGGGGGGCTATGGGCGCACTGACCCGCTACTTAAAGCACGCGACCCAAGAACGACCACGACTCAAAGTGTCCGATTCTTGGTCGCCCGTGAATTCCAACCCGAGTACACAACACACGGTTACCCTGAAACAATGAGAGGTAAACCTTGAACGATGAAAAGTGATTGGTCGAGCGCCCAACCACCACTGGGGTATGACTGCGAGCGTCGCACCTGCAACCAGCAATGATGGGAGGGTGGATCAAGACTCAAAGTGCCTTGGACTTACTTGGGACTCATGACCATGGTGGCTGTTGGAAATGATAAAAGAACGTAAGACATTTCCGTAGTCTCGTGTGAGTGTACGAATACGTGACGAGTGCAACAACGAGGATCACCGAGTCAACACTGCTACAGTACCACCTGTTGGGTTGAAAATAGCCCTAGGATCTTTTCAGAATGCTAAGTCCTTGTTGTTAGTGTAGAAAGATTAAAGCGAGAAATACGCGGAAAACACGGGTACTAGATAAAGGTGTTGGCTTGGCTGCTATTGACCGGGATAAGACGAGGTGCCTTGTCAAGCTAGCACAGCAAGGTGCATGCTGACCAGGATTGGATGAGGTGCCTTGTCAAGCTGGCATAGTGAGAGAAATTTACGGATAAATCGGACTGAAGGCTTGGCGTTACGGTGGGTGGGAAGCTAAGCTCGATGGAGGGAGGAGATGTGGGGGAAAGGTAAGGAGGGTGGGTGATGGAGCATACTGTGACAACAGAGGATGCTAGATCCAAAACGAGGGAAAACAGATACAGTACGTGATTTGTTTTCCATCATTTCCCTTATTTGACATATGTACCATGTCAGTGAAAATCTAGTGCTCATGTTTCTTCAGAAGGTTCCACCAATAGCACCACCAGGGCTAATAAGAGCGTGTTCTTACAAACCTCTTCCTAGGCTATCCCCTTCATAGACCCGGCCATCGATTGAGAGCGTGTTCGAAGGACCCCTTTTAAGCTAATTTGTTTCAGAATCATGTTCTCAGCCGCAATGAGTATCTCGCCTATAAGTTGCACAGTAAAGATTCATGCACCTATGAAAAAATGTGCAGCAGAAACGAGGTTTGAAAATTTGCCTTGAATCTCGACAAATCTTATATCGCGTCACAC